AGCATAGTACAGAACTGTGAGAACAACACTAGGACTAGAAAAGCCTGGGTTCCAATCCCATCTCTGCTGTATACTAGCAGTGTGATTTGGGGCAAATTCCCTGACTTCTCTAAGACTTGGTTTTCTCCTCCAAGAAATGAGAAATAAAATGGAAATCCTTACTCGTTCAATCCCTTTGAGAACTGGAGATGGTGTAAGTCTCCCCGTTTAGTCTCCCCACTGGAGACTAAATAAACAGATTAGCACTAAGCGAAGGGCATCTGTTTTCAAAGGATAGTTACTTGGACCATGGATAAACAAGTATAGTGTTAGGGCCTCCTATAAGGAGCCCCAAAATCATGCAGCCTATGCCGTGTACAATTCAGCAGCAAAATTTAGAAAAAGCTGACTGCTAGGGAATGTGGTCCATCAGGATCTGAACTAAAAGAGACTGTGTCTTGACTACCTGGCCAGGCGGGTGGGTGTCAAGTCCAAGAAGGCTTAATCAGTAACCTGAAAAATAGGTGAGGTGATAGAGAAAGCAGGAAAAGAGGTTGGGCACTTAGTTTATTTATATGACAACCCCTACACCAGCTCAGAGGGCAAAGAGTACCCTTTCCCTGGCAACAAGTCAACAGACTTTCACCAGCTTGAACTGTGGACTTAGAGGTTAGCCTCTAAGCCCAGTACCCTTCTTTACATGCTAACTAGACAGGTAGCATCTCACAGGCTGAGCTCGAGGGCAGTTCTCTCACTAGTGTCTTTGTTCCTTCCAGAGTGACCTCCTCTCTCTCACTCATATTCCTTTTCCGCCTCTTGGAGCAATGTCTTTACCTCCCTTAGGAAGTTGAGGTCAGATTTCTTCAGCCCTCCCAGCACCTCTCAGTGTAGGCTCTGCACGCTGCTCTTTGACGAAATAAGACTAGAAAACGCACAGTTTTCATTTTGTAATCTAAAACAAACTCTAAAGGAAAGGAGGGGAACTAGGAGGAGTCAAAATCACCATAGTACATCCTAGTGTGAGAAAGCGCAAAGGCACTGCTCAAGGGCAGTAGCCATACTAGTCAAGAAATTGTACAAGGATACAGATTAATTCCTGGTTGTCAGTCTCAACTCGTAAGACAAGAACCCTATCAGTCTTAATGATGAGAGGTTCATCCAAGACCTTTTATGAGGAAGCAAAAGTCTCTTCAACAAATGACGCCATGAGATGTTCACATGCAAAAGAATGGATTTGGACCCCTACCTCACACCACGTACAAAAATTAACTCAAAGTGGATTAACACCCTGAAGGTAAGAGCTAAAAGTATAAAATTTTTTGGAGAAGACATGGAATAAAACCTTACGACCTTGAATTTGGAAGTGGATTCTTAGAAATGATAACCAAAACATAAGCAACAAAGGGCAAAATAAATAAACTGAATGCCACCAAGATATAAAGCCTTTGTGCATCAAAGGATATTATCAGGAAAGTAAAAAGACAACTTATAGAATGAAAGAAAATGTTTGTAATTATATATTTGGAAGAGTACAATCCAGAATACATAGAGAATTTTTGTAATCAAACAAGAAAAAGACAAACATCCTAATTTTTTTTTTAAAGTTACTACATGTAGACCAGGACAGGAAAATAATAATATAAAAGAGAAAAATAATTGTGGTAAGTTGAAGACTTGTATAAATATATTTCTTTTAAGAAAGAACAACTAAATACAAAGTATAAACCTCACTTTTGGGTCCTAATTCAAACAAGAAAATATTTTTGAAAGAACAGGAAATTTTGGATATGGGCCAGGTATTAAATTATCTAAAATAAGAAATCACTATTAAAATGTGTTAGGTACATGTACCAACTATCCACAATGTAACCATTATATACTGCAAACATGTAATAATAATTTTTTTCAATTTTAAAAAGAAATCACCATAAAATTTTAGCTATCGATGGTTATTGGTTATTGTTTTAAACAATAACAATGGTTATTGTTTTAAAAAACCAAAGTTGCATTCTGAAGAATTTACAGTGAAATCACATTATCATTCAGATTTGGATTAGAAAACCACTTTTAAAACTTGAAAGGGGATAAATGAAGCAAGAATAGGAAAACCTGTTAAAGCCAAGAGATCAGCATTAGGTCTACAAGTTCTACATATCCTATTCTATCTCTGCTTATGTATGTTTGAAATTTTCCATAATACAAAATTAAAACTGTTGCTTAATACTGTTATTGTCTCAGCTTCAAACATTCAGGAAAATAAAAGCAGCAGCAACTGTTTCTTCAGCACTGCACCTAACTAGAGTAGAATGCTCATTTCAGATCCAACCCAACCAACTTGGATATCAGGATAGCTCTTTTGCCAAGTGCCGAGATTGGTCTAATCTCACCTTTGGTGCTGAATAGAGGACGACAAGGAAGAAAACTGAACACAGCCAGTGAAATTCCTTTTTGACCGAACAATGAGTACTGTATAAGTGCTGGAAAGGGGAACAGCTGGAGCCTCTCCCTATGTGATCTCAGAAAATGCCACTTCTCTCTCTGCACTACTGTAACCCAGAGAGCTTTAGAAAGGGTAGCGGGCTCTCAATCAGCTGTGTTCATCTTCATCACTTTTTACATTTCAATAGCACTTTATGTTTTCAAATAAATGCACTTGAGCCTTTCCACTGCCCAGTGAGTTAAACAAGGCAGGAATTACAAACCCCAGCTTTCTCATGAAAGAGGGAGCTCTAAAGAGTTTGTAGCATTTGTTACAGGTCACCTCTAGGGAGCAATAGCACAGTTCAGGGACCCAGCTTCTTCCAATTGTTCTCCTAGATAGTTTTCTTACCAAGGATCTATTTTCTTTCTCACTCCTTATCGTTCACATTTCTTTTCTTTTATCCTGCTGTTGCTTTAAATCAGGCTGACAATCACTTTGGCATAAGAAAAAAATTTTTTTCAACAAAACTCTACAAGCAAGTTTTATCTTACCTCCATCTTTAAGACTGTCAAGGGAATATCTTAGGATCTGAGTGGTTTCCTGGGTTTTGGAGAGTTTATTTTGTTCTGTTTTTTTCTTGGGTTTTATTTATTTATTTTGTTTTGTTTCTACTCTTATGATGAACTGACTCGAACACTGACTGAAGAAAAAGTACAGGAAGAATACAAGGATTGCTTCTGTGAGTCAGTCAAGAGATCTTCCCAGCTTTCAAAAGCACCCCAGTGGTCAGCCAATCTCTGAGAAACCTCAGCTCTGCAAACTGGGCCTGTAGTGCCAAGTTAGCAGAGAGAGCAAGCTAATTGTGGAGGGACAGTTCTGCTGATTAGGTTTGTAGAGAATAAATATCCCTCAAAGGGTTAGCAATAAGGACCCAGGGAACTGATTCTCAGCCAATACAAAGTGGCTCATGCAGTGATAAAAAGGACAGTGAAACAAGAGACGGGGGCCTGAGTTCCACTCCTAACTTAGGATTCTGAGAAGTACTTTCCTCCCCGCCACCAGGGTTTTCATTTCCCTGTTGCTGTAGTTTCAATGTGCCCTCTAAAATTCAAGTGGAAACTTAATACCCAAATTTATATGTTGACGGTATTTGGAGTGGGGTTTTTGGGAGGTAAATAGGGTTAGATAAGGTCATTGAGGAGAGGGGGGATTATGGGGCTGGATTCTTTATAAGAAGAGAGATACCTGAGCTGACACACACTTGCTCTCTCTTGCTATACCAGGCCTTCGGCTATGTCATGATGCAACATGAAGGCCTCCACCACATGCAAGCCCTTTGGCCTTATTAGGCTTTCTGGCCTCATGAGACACAGCCTAAATAAACTTCTATTCTTTATAAATTACCCAGCCTGTGGTATTCAGTTATGGTAGTAGCAAACAAGCTGAGACATCTGTTCACAAAAGAAGAGTCTCAGAGATCCTTCAGAGTTGGCACTTATTGTCCATGTTTAAAGACATTGGAAATATCCCATGGAGTCAGACTTGGACCTGACAGAGGACAAAGGTTCAGGACTGCCTCAGGGTTGTGACCAGTCCTTAGGCATCCCTAACTTTCTTTATTTAAAATTGACAAATAAAAATTATATTTATTTATTGTACATTGCATGATGTTTTGAAATATGTACGTTAATTAGCTCAGTTGAACTAATTAACATAGGCATTACCTTACATGCTTTTCTGTGGTGAGAACAAATCTCTCAGCAATTTTCAAAATGAAATTCATTGGTAGTAACTATAATCACTTTGTTGCACAAGAGACCTCTTGAACTTATTTCTCCTACCTAAGGAAATAAATCTCCTGCTTATTTTTCCTATCTAAAATTTTGTATCTTTTCACCAAATCTCCCCAACCTCCACCTTCACCTCAGGTTCTAGTGACTATAACTCTATTTTTACTTCTATAAATTCAACTTTTTTGAATACCATAGATGAGACCAAATAGTATTAGCGTTTTCCTGCATCTGTCTTATGTCACTTAATATAATGTCCTCTGGTTCATCTGTGTTGTCACAAATGACAACTGTCTACTTTTTTAAAGTATGAATAGTGTTCCACTATGTGTGTGTGTGTGTGTGTGTGTGTGTGTGTGTGTGTCACATTGTCTTTTTTTACTCATGGATGGGCCCTTACATTGATTCCATAACTTGACTACTGTGAATCATCTGCAATAAACATGGGAATACAGGTATTTTTTTGACATATTAATTTCATTTCCTTTGCCTAGCTACTCAGTAGTGGGTGGCTGGATCAGATGGTATCCTAACTCCCTTTTAATTTCTGTGAAAAACAGCTTTCCCTGCACCCTTTTAAACCTGTTATGTTTTCAACCTGCACCACTGAGAAGAACAAGAAATTCCCCTGTACCACACTGGCTCCTTGATGCATGAGGTGGGACTTTATCCTAAGGACCAAGAAGGCTTAAGGGACCAAGTTCATGGTGATGTACAGAACCGCCTCTTGTTAGAGCAACACGTGCTTGAGAATGAGAGTGGACAGCTTCTGCAACAGCCGGGCCCAACCCCCAGAGGAGTGTACTCACTGAGATCTTGGTAAAAATGTAGAGCAACAAGGACAAAACGGAAAGGTAGACTTGGATCCTCTGGCCTCCAAACCTCTTCCGCAGATATTCTGGCATTGTCACCACCTGTATGGGATGCAAGGGAAGTCACCATTAGCCAGAGTGACAGGACCCAGAGCAGGCAGAAAAATTGGATATATCCTTGTCACAGACCCACAGAACTGTGGCCAAGGATTCATAACCTTTATTGACCTGGGAAGTCACAAAGTAACCCACATGATCTCTGGTCTTCAGCCACCTACTCATTCTAATCCCACATGCCCCTAGCACTATAAGAGTAGCTGGATGTTATCCCAGAGCATAGAAGGTGCTCAATAAACATGTTTTTGAATGCATACATGACTGGACATAACTAAAGAGGTAGATTCTTGCCCTGGAGGAGGAAGGGATAGGTGGGAGATGATAGATAGACAGATAGATAGATAACAATTACAGAGATAGATTCCTATACAGAGCACCTACTGTAAACAAGACATCATGGCAATGGTGACATCTTTCCAAGGCACCAAACAAGTTGGCCAGACTAAATATGACTTCCACTGTGCTCTGCACACAGGCACTGCCAAGGAGTGTAGCTGCAGGCCTGCCTAAACATTCTCCCAGTTTCTTTGTGCAGATTTTAACCATACTTCCTGTCTTGCTCCCTCCAACCTGAGCCTACCGTCCTTAGGCCCCAGACATGTCACCAGTGATCTGGGAGCCCCCAGAAGATGTAGAGTCTGCCCTATGTTTCTCCCATAGTGCTTTTAGCCCCCAACATATACATTTACACACAGGAGGTGCTCATTGTGTCTCATGGAACAAGTGATAGTAAAGCTGCCCTATGTAAAAAACCTCAGAGAGGGGCTGGGGATTTAGCTCAGCGGCACAGCACCTGCCTGGCAAGCGCAAGGTCGTGAGTTCGATTCCCGGTACCAGAAAAAGAAAAAAAAAATCTCAGAGAAATAAAAGAGCAATGGATAGCTGAGTACCAGCTGCATGCTCAGCAAACAAGAGCTGCTGAAGTCTGTAAATGAAAGGAAAATACAGTTCTTTTTCCCCAGCCTATATGGGCAGAGGCTGGAGATCAAGAGCAAATTCACAGGAATGCAGCGCAAGGACACACCCAAAGGAAGAGGATGAGATGCTTCAGAGGAATATAAACAGTGTGGGATTTCTTGAAGGACCTTCCCAGAGGGCTGAGTCATGAGCCTGAACTGATAAGAGCCAGGGGGCTATTTCATCCCCCTGTGTGCTGTCAGAAAACATTTTACAACATGGGAGCGAGAACCAACCCACAGGTCCCTGTCCTTTACACCATAAAGTGTCCTCTAACTTTCAGAATGATCAAGCTCACGTACCTATTCGTCAGTGAGAAATGGAACAACAGAACGGATACTTACCCCAGCCCTAATGTAAATAGGGACAAACACCCAACCCAGCACAACCACGATAACCAGCGCCTGAAACCAGAACAAGAGATAGATTTAAATCAGGAGAGACCTTAGCCCAGGAAAATCACCAATACTTTCGTGTGGTAGTTGTTGTTGTTGCCCTGTTGTTCCCTGCTACCTAGGTGAAAGTTTGAGACTGAATAAAGTTTTCACTGCCCAAATGGCTCACAGGAACAGCACCTGGGCAGGAGTGGAGGGGAGGCCACGAGGTTGCCCACTAACATCACAACCCTTGGGCCGCGGCCAGAACAAGGAGTTTTTCTTTGGGTTTCCCTAACTTATAAGGAGTACAGCCCGGGATGTAGCTCAGTGGTTCAGTGCCCGCCTGGCAAGCACAAAGCCCTGAGTTTGATTCCTGGTACCAAAAGAGAAAAAAGAAAAAAAGAAAGACCAAAAATAAAAAACCCCTAAAATAAATAAGGAGCAAAATACAATTTTGAGAATAATAATAATAACATGGTTAGGAGAGTACTAGAGCTCTGTCTTTTTAACAGCAAGGGGAAAGTAAAGAAATACTAGTACCATGTCGGTGGACCTGTCATGCTACTGCAGTGGAAGGAAAGCAGGACTGGAGCTTAAAGCTGTGCTCTTCCATCTGCATGCCAGGGTATCTCTCAGGGGCTCCCTTAACATCTCAAGCTTCTCTGCACATAAACTGAACTGGTTGACTGCTAAGGCTCTGTTATGGGAAATGATTTAATGCACCCCTTAAAAGTTTATGTGCTGGAGACTCAGTCTTTAGTGTAGTGGGAGACAGTGGGACCTTTAAGATGTGGGGAGTAGTAGGAAGTTCTTGGGTCCTTGAGGCTGAGGCTAAGGGAAGGGATTACGGTAGTTCAGTGAAAGCTTTGGGCACTCTGAACGAAGGTTGTTATAAAAGCCTGAGCCATGGAGACGTGGGCAGAGTGAGAATGGGGTGAGAGGAAATGAAGTTAAAGGGAGGGTGAAATGCTGGGTACATGCACCACATTCCTGTGAGCACCTGCAATCCCGCACTTGGGAGGATGAAGCAGGAGGATCGTCGTGAGTTTGAGGCTAGCCTGGGCTACATTGTGAGTTCAAGGTCAGCCTGAACTACATAGTGCAACTCGGTTTCAAAAAAACAAACAAACCAAAAAAAAAATTATCATGCATTAAGTACGTAGACACACTTCCCATGATGAATGTGATCATTGTGTAATGCAGCATATACTAATTTTTAAAAAAAAACATATTTAATGCCTGAGCCTGGCCCTTCCCATCCTTTTTGGGTTTTCTTGTTTGGAGTAATGTGGTCTCCTCCTCTCACACACACTCCTACCATTGCTATCCACCAGGAAGTGATATAGACAAGAGGGACTCACAATAGCCCTCACCATGCTATTTGGACTTCCAGCCTCCAAAACTATGAGCTAAATAGCCTATTTTCTTTAGACATCTTTTTTGGTTTTTTTTTGGTGGGGGTTGTTTTCCAGTACTGGGAATTGGACTCATAACCTTGCACTTGCCAGGCAGGCACTGTGCCGCTGAGCTAAATCCCCAACCCTGCCTATATTCTTTATAAAGTTAGCCTGCCTCAGGTATATCATTATAGAAATGAAAAACAGATTAGTAGAAGCTTTTCTACCACTAAGACACAGTGGTGCTTATGTTACTCACGTTGAATTCAAAGCCTCCAATTGCAATGCCTGCAGCTGCTCCTGTCCCCGCTAGCCCCACAAAATGACCGCTTCCAATGTTACTGGCGAAGAGCGAGGCTCCAATCTGAAAACAGAGATAAAGTCAAGTGGTGACTCTATGCTTGACCAGGACACTCAGGAGATCCCAAATCCAAAAGAGATGCATTAGCCAAAATAAGGACAGGAGGGAGGAAAGGCCAGCTGGGAACTTGACTGGCCCTTGTGAGGACTGGTAGACAAGACAAATACAGGAAGCTGGGAAGTAATGTAAATGCAAAAGAGAGGATTCCAGAGGAGCAGTGGAATATAACCCTCAAACAGATCATCTGGGGGACTTTCGTGAGCCCAATGTCCAATGTGAAAAAGGTATGGCAAGCCCATGGCCCACGAGGACTCCCCCAAATGTCTCCTGAGAGGCTGTGTTCTCAGAGAAAAGGTCCACGCCATTAACCTCCATATCCTCAGTATGCCTGGTGCCTTAGGGCCTTGTCCAATACAGTTTTTCAATACATATAAGCAATGTTTTTGAAACACATCACTTCAAAGAAGCTTCTGGATCTCCACCTCCTTGTCAAATGAAGAGGGACAAGAAACTGGTGGTTTCTGAGTGATTCCTAGATGTTCAACTACGTGACTCTGCACACTCCCTAGTAACAAGAGAGGATGATAATAATAATTCTTCCCTAGAGGCTGGGGATTTAGCTCAGCGGCACAGCGCCTGCCTGGCAAGCACAAGGTCGAGAGTTCAATTCCCGGTACTGGAAGAAAAAAAAAATTCTTTCCTGAAAATAACACCTAACCTAATTAGCTGTAATTAATAACTAGTCATTACCATGGCCAGTGTCACGTAGATTGTACCTCACTATTCTCTTGCTTCGTGGCTAAACTATAATGGCAGGTAAGGCAAGAATAGGCTGATTTGGGGCTAGAATTTTTTATCTCTGGTTAGGTCTTATTTTCAAGAGAACACTAACATTTATGTTTTTACAAAGGACCTAGAGATTGTACAGAAATACGCATAAAACACTGCATTTTTCAAGGCTATACGTATGTCTAAATACATATGTTAAAAGAAAGAGTAGAAGGTCATAGATGAAATAGCCAAGAGTAGAAGCCCAAAAGGGGAAAGTAGAATAGTACTATGAACGGGAGTCAAAGAAGAAAATATCCAGTGAAACAGGAGAGGGACTTTGCATTGGCCAGTTGTATACTGTGTGGCCAACTCAACTACATCTGTGGTCGAAAAGAATTCCAGAGAGTTCTAGAATCCCCGTATATCCAGGAGGAGAAACTACAACAGCATTTGATAAGTGAAACACAAGTACAGATGGTCCTCAACTTCCAATGTGGTTGTGCCCCAATAAATTTATAGTTAAAAGAAAGTATTATAAATCAGAGATGCATTAATATCCCTAAGCTAGTGAACATTGTAGCTTAGCCCATCTACCTTAAAAGTGCTCAGAGCACTTACATTAGCCTATAGTTGGGAAAAATCACCTATGACAAAGTTTATTTTATAGTAAAGTATCAACTACCTCATATAATTATTGAATACCATGCTGAAAGTGAAAACAACAATTGTATCAGTAACTTTTCATGCCATCATAAAGTCAAGATACTGTTAAGTTCAACTGTAGTAGGTTGGGGGCCATCTGTATAATTAGTTTATATTTTTGCTAAGCAAATGGGATGAGACTTAAACTTATTTTTCTAATGTTTCTGGGTAGGCCAAATCTGGAATAAAATATTTTCCAAAAGACAGGTTACTCTAAGAAAGGGTCTTAACTGTATCAGCCCCTCCCAAATATAAGGCAGCTGGTGATTAGTATCAAAGGCCACATCAAAGCAGAAGGAGGTCTCTCAAGGCCCTATCAAAACAGGTCTAGAAAAGATGAGGAGACAGTGATGTAAGTGCATTCATTCATTCATTCATACAATTACTATTAACTTAGTACTGTATCTACATAAAGTGTCAAACAGTGTTCTAGACATGGGATATTCAGCTGTGAATAACACGGACAAAATCTCTACTTGCAGGAAGCTTATGCTGAAGTGCAGTAAACATAAATAACCACAGAAACAAAGATCAGAGAGGGATTAGTGCTGTGAAGAGGATAAATCAGACAGATTATGACACAGTGCTTAGACTAAAGAGTCACAGAAGGTCCCTTTAAATTGGGATCTCAATGATACAAGTCACCTGTGACTGTCAGAGCAAAAACATTCCAACGAAGCAAAGATCCTGCTCCCCCATGTGGGAACAGCATCCATGGTTGAGAAGCAGAAAGACCAAGGAGGCTGGAGTACGATGGGCAAAAGGGACGACAGTGCAAGAGCAGGCTGAAAACTCAGGAGGAGCTGCATCAGGGAGATGATGGGAAATTCTAAGTGTGACGGGAAGCCACTAAGGCTTCTAAGCAGAGCAGGAACAGGATCTAATTTGCTGTTAACTGTGGCTCTAAGTTGTACAGAACATGACGTACTGGGGCAGAGAAGAGAACGGAGAAACCCGGTGGGTGCTATCGCCACATCTAGATAAGACAGGACAGTGGCTTGGTGTAGGGTGGCAGTAGGTGAGACAAAGAGAAGCGGAGATATTGGAGGTCAGTTTTATAAACAAGATTAACAAGGTTTGTTGATGGATTCAATGAGGGAATAAGAGAAAGGGTGACCAAGGATAACTCCTAGATTTGGGGTCTGAGTGGATGCCATTCTTTAGGAAGAGGAAAGTTGGAAAAATAGGGTTGTTTACAGACCTACCTCTTTCTGCTCAAAACTTGATGGAGGTAATAGTCCACTTTTAATCTGAATTTACCTCATAATGTCCCTAAAATTGTCCAAATCTGGACCTAAATATTTATTTCCCAAAATACAGATTACTAAAAAAAAAAACTGTCCTAACTCTACCAGCCCACCTGTCCTAAGCCACTATCTTTGCACTAATCACGTCTCATTTGATAAATTATTAAGCCTAATGCTGTACTATTAAGGACCTAATTATCGGAAATGATTAACTGAATTAGATTAAAATGAAATTTAAGAAATCCTCTCCACTATCCCTTTCCAAAGGAGTACACTGCATTTTAAGACATGCCAGGCAGTCCTGAGGTCCTCCCCTCACCACCTGAGAAGGGGATAGGATGGGGTCACAGAGTTTGGGGGATAGGAGCACCATCTTGGCCTCATTTTGGGTTTCTTCCCTTTACCCCCTGACCTGCATTCAATTATTTATCGAAACCCTGACTCTGTTTTCATAGTACCACTGGCACCTAGCACTTTCTGCATCACCCTTGGCTGCCTGTCCTTATCTCTTAACAGAACTATGCTACATTCTTTTACATGATCTCAAGTTTCTTTCTCCTGCAGTCACTCCCACACACTTACTCACAGAGCCCCGTTACCTCCCCAAAGTGCAGCTCTACAACTTTAATCATGTTCTTACCCCATTCAGAGATCATCCTGGATCTCCCTCTCCCTCATGGCCCTGCTAAGTAGTCTTTCCTGACAGCTCAAGGCTTAAAGATATAGACCTAGAAAATCAACAAGATTTCAGGGCGAAGCTCTCTCCAGTGCAAAGACAGCATAAGCTTAAAAATTCCAACTGGACTGCTTTCTTGCCCCCTTATCATCTGGGTGTTCATAACATCTGTGAGCCTCCCATCTTCTCTCATGACAGAATTTTGCTAGAGTCAAATAAGAGGGGGAATCAGTAATGACTGGCACTCAGATAGCCCTCACCAAAGGCCCTTCCTCTCACGCTGTCCCAAAAGGACAATTCACCCTTAAAGACAATTCACAAGAACTACAATGGACACTGTAGTGGACTGAATTGAGTCCTTCCCACAAATTTCATATCCTGAAGCCCTAAATTCCAATCTGATTATATCTGGAAATAGGGTCATTAAAGAAATAAAGTTAAATGAAGTCATAAACATAAGGCTTTAAAATATGAAGTTGGTGTCCTTTTAAGAAGAGAAAGACACAACAGATATCCTTCTCTTTCTCTTTCTCTTTCTCTCTCTCTCTCTCTCTCTCTATCTATCTATCTTTCTCTCTCTCTCTCTCTCTCCCCCTGTCTCTTTCTCCCTTCCTTAATCCCTCCCTCCATGCATTTATGCACACAAAGAGGTCATATGAGGACACAGCAGGAAGACAGCTGTCTACAGCTAGGAAGAGAGGCCTCACTAGACTCCAACACTAACAGAACCTTGATCTTGGACTTCAAATCAAAAGTCAGAGAAAATAAATTTCTGTTATTTAAAACACCCAACCTGTGGGATGTTATCATGGCAGACTAAGACACCATTGTTTTATGACTTATTCCCCGCTGCCAGGTTTTCATGCTGCTCCTGCTCTCACTGAAGCTCATTAATGACACTGTTATCACCCTGATTTCCCAAACATTCTCTCTATCCACTCCGCACCCACACTGATGCCCACTTGGAAGTCACACTCCACTTGGGGAGTGGCCGTGTGACATGAATCATTATGTCCTTCTCTGTAATATCCTCCCACGTTCCTTCTGAATTCAAGATTTCAGAATTTATCTAAAATTCCTAACTTGACCTGGCTTTTAACTAACTTCTTTCCAAGCCTTCTTTCTCATCTCCTGAAGGGATTCAAAAAGCCAGGACAAGTTCTGATACCACTGTATAAGAGGGACTGGGTGAGAACAAATCTAATAGGCTTGATGGTATGGTAATTGGTGAAATAATATAATTATCACAAAAGGTAAGAAAGTATGGACTTTCTTTTGATTCAAGGGGATTCATAACCACATTTGACTGACTAAATTTCCTGTCTTAGTAAGTTAATGGAAAGGGATATAGAGAAATTATAGAATCTCCCCCTCAAAAAATGTTTAACAGGTTCATAGATGTCACTGCTTGACTCTCTTCTGCGACATCTCCCAAGTGATGGTCAGTGTCTACACGGATACTCTAGTGACTAAGAATTCCCTACTCACAAAGGAGCTGAATTGTTAAAAAGTTCTTTACTTTGAACTAAAATCTACTCCCTTCATATTTTCACTCTCATGGTACAGAACAAGGCAGATATCTCCTCCACTAGCTCTTCCAAGATCTA